TTCAGAACCAAGTTCGTATATAAGACTAGTGGAATGAAAAATCCCACCAGCATACTTGTGCAAACTCTGACGTGATGATGAAAGCCCCCATGGTTTACTGTCTCTATATGTACAAAGCTAGCTGGGGCATTCCAACACTCCCATGCCAATCAGTGGCTGTTTTGGCTCCAGGGCAAGGTGGAGGAGTAAAGCTAGCAGAACAGAACTGCGTTCACGTGTAGATTTTGGGTGCTTTCTTGTGTGAACTTTGAGAGATAAAACTGCTTGTGTAACTAAGATATGAGCTAATCATGAACTGTTTTTGGCAAAACCACTGTTGGTTCCTGGCTCTTTATGTACAGAGGATTATGTTCTTTCATATACAGGCGTACCTCGGCTTACGAATTTAATGCGTTCTCTGGGATGTTACGTAATGTGAAAAATTCGTAAACCGAAACGCGGTTTGCCATAGGAAAGGGGCTGGCTCTATAATCCTCCAAGCACAATGCATCCTGGGGAAACTTGCTTCGTACTGTGGAAAAAATCGTAAACCAAGGCTTTATTTTCAATAAACCGAAAATTATATTAACCGAGGAGTTCGTAAACCGAGGTACTACTGTATCTTCTCTTTTTTTAAGACATATATTTGTTTTTGGCACATGACAAACCTAATTAATAATAGAAATCTGCTTATTAGTTATGTTGATATTTCTTCTTCAAGAAATCAAGATTATGCAAAAGATCCAGCACAATACTGACAGATCCATTCAGATTTCCTGAAGCTGTTCTGTTATCACAGGCTCAACAAATAAATTGATTAGCCAGAACTCAGATCCACTGGAGTCATTCCTGCCTGGTATTTGTAAGGATCTGATTGCTTCAGCTTTGGATGTTTTGGAACAGACTGATGAAGAAGAGGAAAGCCTGGCTCAAATCCTTTTGGAAACACTGTTCATCATTCATTCTGGTGTCATGGCTTTGATTGAGGCTTATGAGCAAGCAGAAGAAAGTCTAGAAAACTGTAAGCTCCATTTTGTTAACAAACCTGTACTCTGAATTTCATTCAATGTATTCACAAAAAACTGCCAGAGATTCTTTTAATTAATTATTATTCTTTGTGTTTAAGTTTTCATTGTTGATCAAGCTGCTCAGTCTTGCAGCATAAGGATTACCTCAGCTTTCAAGCAGCTTGTCATTCTAGCCAAGCATTGGCTGAACTGTTTCCGAGAAAATGACGAATTTGTGAAAATCTATGATGAGCTAAGGGAAGATGTAAAACATTTAGGAGGGTATCTGCAATTGCTCTTGCAGGTAAGATATCTCATTGCAAATGTCCTTTAAAAATGAAGGAGGAAATCTTCATTGTAATGTCGTGGTTTTGGTGCTGAGACAGTAACTCAGTTTACACTTTTCCACAGTATGAATTGGAATCATTTATGAAGGTTCATGCAGCAAACATTTTTCACTTCTTTATTTCTTTTGTCTCAGGGTGGTGGTTCAGATTTGTCATCAGTGGTAGCAGAGGCCCAGAAGAAAATAATGCAGACTTTGAAAAACTTGGTAAAATACATAGGCCATTTGGCAGCACTTACTGGCTCAGACCTCCATTTTGGGAAAGAGGAAATCTTCATTGTAATGTCGTGTTTTTGGTGCTGAGACAGTAACTCAGTTTACACTTTTTCACAGTATGAATTGGAATCATTTATGAAGGTTCATGCAGCAAACATTTTTCACTTCTTTATTTCTTTTGTCTCAGGGTGGTGGTTCAGATTTGTCATCAGTGGTAGCAGAGGCCCAGAAGAAAATAATGCAGACTTTGAAAAACTTGGTAAAATACATAGGCCATTTGGCAGCACTTACTGGCTCAGACCTCCATTTTGGGAAAGAAAATAAAGGTCATTCCCGTAATTCAGAGGTAAAGTAATTATCTGTGAGTGGGTGCACCTGTGTGTGTGCAGTTACAAAGTGTAATGGATGGAGAAACATAATCAGTGAGGTTGTGATGTTAGGATGCACTTGGTTTTAGAGGCCATGGGGGTTCTGTATTGCTTCAATGAGGAGATAAAGAGAGATACTAAAGCTGCTGTTTCCTTCCAGCAGCAAGAAGTAATTTACAGTTTAACAAGCTATGTGATTTTAGTAATGCTTAAAATTATTTACCTTTATGCAACTGCTTGTTTACCAGTCTTGAACAGAGTAACTGCTGTAACTTAACCAGATATTCATGTAAGTGTCTTAGTCCTTTTCCTAAAGCTGCTTGTACAATCAGGCTAAAGCATTTTTATTTATCTGTCCATTTTTATTTGTCACAAATCTCGGACTGGTTATAGGGATTTTACTTGTTGTTTGTTTGTATTATATATTAATTTGTATGCACCACCATGAAAACCATCTGGGATGACGGGTAGTAAATAAAAACACTCACTGTTAGAATGTTATGCTGGGACTTCTGAGATTCAGATTCTAGTCTCCACCAAGCCATGAATTTCATACGAAACCTAGCTGTTAGTGTGACCTACTTCATAGGGGTTGTGGTGAAGATAAAATGAGGGTGAGAGGGAGATATAGGAACATCATCTTGAGCTCAATAGAGGAAAAGTAAGATAGAAGTGTAATAAATAAACATACGTATAAAGAAATACTCTTTGCTTTTAAAAGCCCGCAGTGATTCTCATAAATATTCGTCAAATTATTACTGACCTCTAACTTTTAAAATTTTTCGCTCCTCACAGGTGGAGTTCATATCAAACATCTGTGATGGAATGGATGGAGGACTGGCACATCTTTTAGACTGCATCCAGAAAGCATCCAAGAGAATGCAGAATGAGCTCTTAAAGTGGTACCCACAAAATGAGGTGATGGAGAGCTAATCATGAACTGTTTTTGGCAAAACATTTTCTTAGTCATGTTGCAGAAACCCCTGTTGACAAACTTTTCAGAAATTTAGTCTGGGACAGTGTTCACACATGCATGCACACACAGTATATACATATGTGTCCAGGTTATCCTTATCTGCACTGTATTTTGACAACTACTGTCAAAAATGCCATGTAAAACATATAGCTCTTTGCACATGGGATGATGAAACCATCCACTGCTGAAACTATTGTGGCAAAAACAGCCAAGGTTTTTTGTGGAACAAAGAGCTTTTGCTGCATCTGAAAAAGAGGTCTGCAGCCCATAAGGCCAAACAAAACGTCTGCCACAAGATTCTGTTGTTTTTGTCACAACAGACTGTAGAATAAAATGGCTATCCTTCTGGAAATTGCTGTTTAAACTATTCATTTCATGATATCGGGGGAAAAAGGTGAGCCAATCCATTGCAATAGCAACATAACTTTTTTTAAAAAATAACAGAAAGGTGTTGGAAAAGTTTCAGTAGCACCTTATGTTTTTCTATGGCTGATTGCCTTTCACTGACTTTGTAGGCACCCTGCAGTATTAAGAGGAACGAATTTGAACAGCAGAAAAGATGTTCCATTATTCACTCCCTATAGCTAACCAAGCTTTTCTTGGCTCATTGCTATAACAATAGATGCATTTTTCATATAATGGTTACATACTACCCTCTCTCTCTCTCTCTCGCTCTCTCTCTCTTTCTCTCTCTCTCTCTCTCGCTCTCTCTCTCTTTCTCTCTCTCTCTCTCTCGCTCTCTCTCTCTTTCTCTCTCTCTCTCTGTGTGTGTGTGTGTGTGAGAGAGAGAGAGAGAGAGAGATGTTACATTAAATTGAAGATACCCAGGCCAAGGTGCAGATACCTACTTAGGAAAGGAACTGAGCACGCTCACAAGAATGCATAGCCTCACTTTCTCTGACCAGCTGAAATCTCACTCCACTGATGCCATAGACTTTTGTTTAAAGAGAGTATGTTTTAAATAATTTTTTTTTAAAAAAGAGTACAAAATCTCAGTTTAAATAAATGCAATTTAAAAGTTATCAGTGGCTCTTTAAACCTGTGCACAACTGCTTTGTGGAGATGCCTATAATAGAAAATAAAAGTGAACAACATTTATGAAGTCCAGATCACATTCCTTTCAGGCAGAAAATGGTTGGTGGGCTTCACATCAGAAGTGGGCCAGAAACTTTCCCCATTTCCTTCTCTACTCTCATTTTCTCTTTCTCGCAATCAGAAACCCCACATCCCTCTCCATCCATTTCTCCCTTTATGCTCACAGATTTTGGCAAACTTCTCTCTGTTTATTGTCACTTGCAGTTGTTTCCTTTCACATGCACTCCCATCTCAAACCTGTGCAAGAAGATTGTGGCCAATGCCTTGGTATTTATGAACCAGGCCAAAGACTTTGTTTATACATTCACTTGTCTAACCAAGCATTACATATTCATTGTTGAAAATTTGATGACTTAGTTTTAAATTTCGGATTTCCTTTTCTCTTCCAGGTTCAGAATCAGATAAGAGATAAAGCTGTGGCTTTGGCTAAATTCCTTGAAATAATTGCATCTGATTGTAAAAATGTAAGTTCAGTTTTTCACATAGGCATTAGCAGAGGGAGTCTCATAATGCTCTGTGCTACGTCCATTTGTTAATGGATGTAGCACAGAGCATACTTGTAGTATGTCACTGGTTCTGAAAAAATAACAAACCTTTTATTAATTCACACAGAAAGAAGTAACAAATCTATTAAGGAGAAAAGAATCTATTGGCCAGGAATTAAAGAAAGCAACTGGTAAAGCTCTTGAATTCTTGGAATTGCGCCATTGTCTAGATCAAGTCTATCGCCTGGTTACTTCTTCATTGGAAGGTATATTGCCAAGTTAGTACATTTTGATGTAATGCAAAAATACTTTAAGAGCATGATTATAGAGATACAAGATTCAGTACTGGGATCCTTTGTTTCGCTATGATAGCAACAAGGTGCCATTATGTTTGAAAAACATGGTTTTTCACTTGACCAGTGCCTGAGGCCAGCTAAACCACATATTAACTCTGTGGAAGTTTTGAAAAACAAATGTTTCTTAAGTATCAGTATCCTGAAGTCTTATGTGGTTGGTTGACTGCAGCGCTACCTTTATATACTTCACTTTCTTAAGTATATGAAATTATCTCTTAAACCTTAGTTCAGTATCCTGAAGTCTTATGTGGTTGATTGACTGCAGCGCTACCTTTATATACTTCAACAGAACCAGGGTAAATGGTTTGAGTTTCCCATGAAATTTGTGAACATAAAACCATTACAGTTGTCTTTTCTCCCCTTTTAGAATTCCTTTTCAGTATCCATCACTCACTTTAGTACCGAACTGCAAGTCCCCTAACTTTGTCCACAGGTATTAAACCCATGTGCTCAAAACACCACGAAATAATCTTTTCACTGTAGTGAACATGTTTTGGAGGTGTTGCAGATGAGCACTGTGCTCAAAAATCACCTTGATTACATGTAAACCAAAAATCTGATAGCCCAAATCCTCTTGCCTAGTTTTACCGGTATAACACGAACAGCATAACCTTTGGAGGTGAATTGCCTTGTGTTGTTGTGACCCAGCATGGAGCTGATAATATCTATAGTGATTTCTTAACTTGGGACAATTTCCCTCAAAATGACAGCATTTTAAAAATATAGCTATAAAATAAATACTACTTAAAAATTCTTTTAAATGTAAAGCTACATGAGAGGATTTTGGCCCATATCTTTTTATGCAGATGATGGCAAAAAGACATAATAAGAACTTGAAGTTGGTAGCCAGAACTTTGCTTTTTTGATTTGGAATATGTAAAGAGATGGCAGAGGAGACAACTGCTTTTATGTAGCGTGTGTGCTGCGGAGGGGAGAAAAAAAAGTATTTTTCAGTGAGTTCATTCCTGTGTTTTTTGCTTTGTTGAAAATATTCAGAGGTGGGAAAATTACTGTTCTGAACTACATTTCTCAGACTGTAGCTCCATACCATAGTCAGCATTGCTGGCTTTTTCCAGTTCTGGAATGAAGACAAATAATCACTATGGGTGAATAGAGCCCCATAAAAATGGAGCTTTTAAAAAATGAATAGAAGAAAAATGTATACAGTACTTGCATGAACAGCTAGCATACAACTTGGCTTTCTGGATGGCTCAAAGAATTCAACACTTTTTATAATACCATTTTACAGTATAATGCCAGCCATTGATATAATCAATGGAAGTCAAAAAAGAGGTCTTTGTTTTCCTATTTATAGTATGGTAAATAATTATATGCCAGCAATTATGCACTGAGCTTTTTAGGCATATTTTGATAAAAAAGAGAAAAGCAGAAAGGAGCCAAGCCAAAATGCATAAATCATTTTATTCAATTCATGTATAGGTTATTCAGTGGTTTTCAATTGTTGTCAGATTTATTGTCAAACTCGATGTAGTTGGTTCACTTCCTCTTCTGTTTCCTGCAGCTTCATACAGAAATGCAAGTCCACTCAGGTATTTTGTGGAAAAGATTTGCATCTTAGCTGGGAATTTTAATGCTCTCTGCAATCCATCTACTTCATCCATTGGTTTGACAGAAGGTTCTGTCCGCAAAATTTCAGAGCCTCTTGTGAACCAGAGCGAGTTGGATTCTGTAGCAAAATCTCTTATTATTACTTTTGAACTTGAACACAGAGAAAATGCACTGAACTTTCAGGACGATTGTATGCCCAGTATTCATTCTGAAGCAAAGCAATGTGGAAGAAGTGAAGCTACAACTATCTGGAAGCAGGAAAAAATTACAAACTGTAAACTTTGGTCTTTTCCTGGAGGATTAAGAGAATCTTCACCTAATGGAATACATTGGGTTTAAATTATTGTGTAAATTGTGGGATACGAGGGAGGTACTGACTGCTATGTTATCATCACAAAAAGAGATCTTTCTGGAGATTTGGGGTGAGAAGATGTAGGGCTAGTTCATATGCCTGCCTAGCCAAGATTTTCTTTCCATGCCGAGTGTGGAGTAAATGGGTGTGTTTCTCCTGTCCGTGCAGAGGAGACCTGATGCTTAGCACCTATACATAGGCTTGTTGGCATACAGGCTCAAGTCACTTCACAGGGCTTGTGCAATGGATAGGGGAAAGACTGCAAATTACCTGTTGCAGAGAAGACTTGGCTCACAAATGTCACATACTTGTGGGAGTGGTGAGAAAGTTACCTTAGCTGTTCCTTCTGCCACAAAAGGACAATACTCAGCTTAGTGAGGGTGCAAATTGGCTTCAGGGTTTTGTAGAAACATTATGTTCACATCGGAATAAAATTAGTCCAAAATGAACATTTTGAGATATGTGACTGGCTAGAAAATGGATTAAAATTTTTAATTTATTCTTCATAGATGCAGTAAAACTCACTTTAAAAAGATGTGGCTCCACAGTGAAGGTCCCTTATTGGTTTTACTGTTCATATTTCCTAGCGCTTGGCTTGGTAAATGTTTAATGAACTAGACAGATGCAGTATTCACTGCCTGTAACTAGGCCAAATATTTAAAGTGACATTCTTTCCATTCCCTTTCCTTGTTTATATCGATCATCTCTTTTAGCAGTAGACCCCACACCCTGGTCTCTGTTTGTCTTTTTCCAGGGTGAGGTGAGGGCTGCATGAGGAGGGAGATGGAAAGCTTTGACATGGATGTCTGGATCAAAGTTGAGTAAATTAGGCATGAAAATAAAATTATTTAAGCCTCTTCTATTTAGCTCAGGGAATGGGATTTATTTATTTAAATATATAGCTTGCCAACAAAAGTTGGAAAAAATATTGCTTAATAGTCTAATACAAAGTACAACATACTTTGCTTATCTTCCACTGGAAGACATAAAATTATCCTTGCCCTGACACAGTTGTTGAGAGTTTTTTTTTAATCTATAGGCCCAAATCCTGTTGCTTAGCATAATAAATTACATTAAATACATTAAACCAATAGGGATTTAGTCAGTCAGCCAGCTCTTGCACTGACTCAAATGAACCAACTCTGTGACTTACTTTAGCATAGTAAATCATAGTTAGATTAGGACTATTTGAATCTACAGAAGTTATGGAGGAGTTGCCTCTAAATTCCCATTGATGCATTGGGCCTACACTCTAGTGTAATTTACTACACCAAGCAACAGGATATTGCTCAATAAAACAAAAATATAAAGTTGGTTCTAACAGGTTTTGTGTATCAGGATTGACTAAAGCTTGAAAATGTAGCTGCACCCATAATCGTGTTCTTTATATACTCATGTACATATTTGCACATGCATGTCTGTGAAATGCTTGTTTACAGTAGACACAAGCTGTAAAATTTCAACAGATAACAGGAGCTAAAGCAAAACAGAAATATTACTTACTGGTTCCTTTTTAAAATGATGAGACTTTGACTCCATATAATAAAAGATAAATAAAATGCTGTACAAAAAAAAATCATATTAAACTGTTATTTTGAAGTTTATGTGAAATCAAAGAGGCTGGTTATGACAAGACCTTTTGGATTTTGTACCATTAGGCGTACACACGCATGCACCAAAGCATTTCTAGGCTGTGAAACGGATGCTGGCACTTTGCTGCTGCCTGGGTTCAAAAGGATTATTTACTACAGAGAGCAAGAGGCTGGATATCTTCCCATTTTGGGGCCAGCTCCTGATGCCTCGTAGGTTGTTTTTGCAGGGGACCCAGGGCAACTGTGCCATCACAAGAGGAACATTGTGGAAGGTGAGCCTGCTATGTATTGCTGGTAGCGCAGCTATCAAATCTCAGTATAGAAAGCAGGGTTGCCTGGTCCCTAGTTCAACCTGACAGATTTGGGGAATCATTCTCCAGGTAACAGGTTTGGGAGTGGGATGCGCTGACCAGACAACCCTGGTACATCCTGACATATGGCAGGTGACTACAAGATTTACCAGAAGATCCAAATGTACTCTTATCCTACAGTGGTGCAGTAAACTCTTCCTTTTTTGGTAACACCCTTGCTTCTAATTATATGTTGCAGCTTCAGCCTGCAACTCTCCCAACAGCCCATCAGAGGCACATCCATGATAGTACTATACTGGCCTTTAAATTCAGCATAGTTTGTCTGTCTCACACATCATTGTGCAATTGCGGCTGAATGGTCTGCTCATGTCACATACAAAGGCATCCTAAGGAAACGGTTCACCTTTTTGCCCCTGGAATCTGAGTGGGATGCTGCTGAGCTAGTAACTGTAAAAAAGGAAGATATACATGCCTACGTGTGTCTGGATATGCCCCCTCCTGCTATTAGTTGTGCAATTGTGGCTGAACGGTCTGCTCATGTCACATCGAGAGCATACAAAGGCATCCTAAGGAAACAGTTCACCTTTTTGCCCCTGGAATCTCCTGAGTGGGATGCTGCTGAGCTAGTAGCTGTAAAAAAAGAAGATATACATGCCTACATGTGTCTGGATATGCCCCCTCCTGCTATTAAGCAGATTTGGATAAAACTGTCAGGTGTTAGTATTTTTCTTTTCTTTTCAAATATTCAGCAGCATCATGCTCACTTTTGAGGACAATTGACAAGACTGCATTTGCAGTGCAGCTTTTTTTCTTTTTTAAGGACTGCACAATGGTTCCTTGTGACAGAAAGATGAACAATCTGAATTTGTTTTATGCTGACTCGGCATTACCTTGTGTCCATTTCTGTACTCTGGCAGCATGTTTCCACAGATAAGAACAAAAGCCCCTCCAGTTCTGCTACTTTTTAAAAGGGGGAAGCCAGTCATAGCTGCCTGAAGTTGAGTGATCTTCTTATGAATGTCTTTCCCTAATTCCTAATGTAGCTGTCTTAAACATCAAAATAGGCAAACATGAAACTTTGTATTTCTAGGCGCTGCTGTTCACTTATCCCTAACTTTCTGATATTGGCTCCCAGGTCTTCTTTCCTCTTGAACTAACACTGACCTTTTCTGTCTGAATCAATTATCATGCCAACACTGGCTAATTTTGCTAAACGCATTTCAAAGCTGTCATTCTTGTCCCTTCCCTCTCCAAGTGGAAGCAAACAGTGTATTAAGTGACACTGTTACACTCAAAAAGTGATATTGCTATTGCACTCATAAATGATTAAGAATATAAAGGAAAGTCTTTATGTGGCTTAGCGTTCTGTATCCAGTGCTGGTGGTCTGCTCATACAGCAGCAGAATCCGGCATGATTCGGGAGGATAGAATGTCCCTTTCCCATTGCATCCCAGAATCAAAGAGGGGTGGGACCCCTTCCCCCCTCCCTAAACCAGTTTTCAGATGGCTCCTAGGACTGTAGCCAGGTCAACAAGGGAACGATGTTATGCCATGTATGAAAGTCACATTGGATTCCATCTGTAAGATTTGTGCCACCCTGATGGGGCAGTTTTCATAGGCTGAGTGAAAAGACGGGGAGATGTGAATGTTTCTAAGAAAAAGGAAAGACAAAGCTAAACTTTTAGGAACCACAGACGTAGCTCTGTACACTTGTATACTTTTTTTAAAAAGAAAAGTTAACCAATAGGGCAGGGTGATAAAACACACTTGATATCTCTCTCTCTCTCTCTCCCTCAAAAAAAAAAAATCCACTATGAATGCATCATTGACTCTTCATCTCTCACTTGGTCCAATAATGGCACCTAGAGGTAAGAGGAAGAACTGCAGTTATTTTGCTTTCTTGCAAACTGCCTAGGTAGGTTAGCCATAAGCCCATGGCCTTTAATGTTGTACTTTACCTCTTAATTCTATTTGTGAACATAATGCTTACGACATTCTGGCCCAGAAAAGCTATTTCTGTTGAGATGCTCAAGAATTGTTCAAAAGCAAAGAGAGCCTTCAAACAAAGGCTTAGTAAGTCATTGTTTGTACTGCAGCTCTCCACATTTTGCCAGTTGTCACAAGTGGAAAGTTATTTTTGAGGACTACAACTCCCAGAATACTTTAGCCAGTGTGAGCAGTGAATATTCTGGGAGTTGTATGCCAAAAATTCACATTTCCTCACTAAGAACTGAGTTTTCCCTCCCTGCCAGGTTCTGCACCTGGTGTTTAAAGACGCATGCCTGCCTGAAGCCTTGAAACAGAACTACTGATTTGCTAAACTACTTGTGCCACACTTCAGCCAGGACAGCCTGGTTACAAGGAGAAGCTTTTCTGCAGAGACTGTGTACACAGGTTCTCGGCTGGGTATAAAAGTTCTATCCAAAAGTTGTCTTATTGACAGGGACGTTCTAAACTATCTAGCCGCTTCTGGCTGAAAAACTGTTCATGCTCAACTTACCATTTAAATAATTTTGAAGATTCATAATTGAGACCATGTTTTAGGAACACTCTTCATGGAGAAGTGATTTATATCACCTCCGCAATCTAAATCCAGTTGAACCACTTAATGATGTTGAGTTTATTTGTGGGGAGGGTGTAGTGTAGCATGTTCACATACACATTTGTTTGGATTAGTGGCAACACAGAGATTCTAGATTTGGGTTTACTTCTGACTCACTTAAAACATAAATCTTTTTGATTCTGGCTCCATTCCCCCCCCCCCCTGCACTGACTTTCACATTTACTTTTGTATAATTCAGGAAAACAGCACTCTTAAGGGTAGATTTTTCATACCATCATAATAGGAAAGCAGGAAAATTCCTTTCTGTTACAATAGCATCACTTATCCAGTGCTTAGAAGCCTCAGGATGTCTGACTATTTTTCTTCTTTAAAAAACCCTGAAGTGCAGCTGGTATTTCTTAAAAAATTAAGTTTGCAGCTACAAAAGTTCAATCCTGGAAAAAATTACTAGAAGACGCAAGGATAGTGATGTCATGTGTTTGTTTTAATGCTTAAACATTCAAGGAGAAAGCATTCATCTGCTTTTATTTCAAGCCATTTTGAAGTAAAATCCATTTCCTTTTTGGCAAGCCCAGCATGAGAGCTTTAAAACTTAAAAACGGGTACTTCTAATTAATGTTGAACTACTCGATGGCTATGCTTCTTTAATGATAATTGTATGGTATTGACTATAGCTTACAGCAATAACCTCCCCCCCCCAACATAAGTCAACAAGGGGCCTAAATCCAGTCAGATTGGACAATGAAAGCCATGGCTTTATAAGACATAGGTGGACATTCTGCTTCATAGATATTTCAGTTACCTGGCCCTGGAGTCTTTCTCTTGTTAAAGGAACTGCAAACCACTATCATTTATTTATTCTCAGGCCAAACCTGTCCATGATCCCCTTTTTTTATTTTTTGCAGCACCTGATAAAATTGCTCAGCTGCAGATCTGAAAACTGTATGTGTGTCCAAGACACTTTGAAATCTGTTGTGTAAGATTCAGAAATAATCAACCAATCAAGATCAAGGATGATATTTTAAGGATTTAAATCTTCTCATTAGTTTGACTGTAAGGGATGAGACGTGGTGGTGCTGTGGGGTAAACCGCTGAAGCCTCTGTGCTGCAAGGTCAGAAGACCTGCAGTTGTAAGATCAAATCCATGCGACAGACTGAGCCTCCGTTGCTTGTCCCAGCTCCCGTCAACCTAGCAGTTCAAAAGCATGCAAAATGCAAAAATGCAAGTAGGTACCATCTTGGTGGGAAGGTAAACGGCGTTCCGTGTCTAGTCACACTGGCCATGTGACCACGGAGGATTGTCTGCGGACAAATGCTAGCTCTGTGGGTTGGAAACGGTATATACTGAAGACAAATAGAGACATAAATTACTTGACTTAGACTGTGGCTTAGACCCCTTTAAAATATAAAGGGGGAAAAATACAAGCTGGCTTGTAATTAGAGTTTTCTTACAGTTTTAGCACTTTCCTAGAGCTAATCCTACTTTTAAACAAAACACCTTAGATACAGCATCTTGATAAGGGAATGATTTTAATTAGCACTAAAAACTACACAAAACAGATACAAAAATGACTGGTATGATGGGATGATATATGAAGTAAGTTATGGAAAAATTAAAAAATCATAACCATGTTCAGCATACAGTGGTGCCTCGCTTAGCGATTGCTTCGTTTAATGATGAAATTCCTTAGCGATGACTTTTTCGGAGCGTTTTTACCCTTTGTTTAACCATGGTTCCTATGGGTGATTTTCGCTTAGTGATGGTTGGGACCATGCTTTGCATAGCGATAAAATTTTGGGTCCCCTGTTTCGCTTAACGATGGTTTAAACAGCCTTATGTTTGCTGTTTTTTAAATGTTTTTGTTATTTATAAAGTTTAAGTTTACTGTTTAAAATGTTTGAAATCATAAAGTGCACTTAATAAACCCTTTGTTAACTAAATTTGACTTTGTTCTGACTCTTTTTTAATTTGTTGTTGTATTTCCCCCCCCCATTGAGATGCATTGAATAGGTTTCAATGCATTTCAATTGGGGAACTGCGTTTCACTTAGCAATGTTTCCTATGGCGATTTTCGCTTAAGGAC